ATATATATATATATATATATATATATATATATATATATATGAGAGAGAGAGAGAGAGAGAGAGAGAGAGAGAGAGAGATTTGTATGCATAAACAAAGTAATAGAAAAATAAAACTTGTATGCATTCCTTGAGGGATGTAGATTCATTGTGTTTCCTTTCCTTCTAGTACTTAGTATCTTTGATCCAGGAGAGGTTGGGATGGATGCAAGTTTTCTATTTCTTCATTCTGATGGTAAGAAAACATTTCTTATTTTTCTTTTTAGATTATATCCTTCCCCACCAAGCAGCAAGGAACTCCCCCCTCCCCCCAGATATATGGAATTGTTAAGACAGCAGATTAAAACTCCTGGTTTAGCATTATGTTAAACTGTAGTGCTAGAGTGCACGACTATACATTATCCAGTTTAAATCAATGGCAGTTTCTTCTCATTTAAAAAAAAAAAGGATTGTGGCCCCAATGAGATAAAGGCAGAAGTAAGAGTCAAATAAAGGATGTCTTGATTGATGGCTCCATCTTTTCACTGTTGAATTGCTAATAGCTGGCTGGGGTCCAGCCCCTTGGTCCCCATTCTGATGGCATCTCTCAACGGAAACAGTTGTAGGTGAATATTTAAACTTTCTGAATAAGGAGAATAAAATGAATAGTTTACATTCTTAGCTAAAATTCATCCAAAGAAGATGAAGGGCAGTCAAACCTTATAGAAGCTTTCAATATATTTGCAATGTATTTTAACTTTCTTGCCTTTTTATCCTGAAAGGATTACATTTCCTCAATTTGACAGGAGATGGCATTTGTATGAATCATCTGATTGACAACTGTAACACATGGAATATAATTTCTTCATAGGTTGCATGACATTCAATACGAAACAGCTCTCATGTGAAATTGAGATTGTTAGGGTTTGATCTGTATCCTCGATAATGGGTGTAATTTTCAGTCTGTAATTGGTCTGCCATCTCAACAGTCTGTATTGGAAGAATGGTACCTGATAGGAAGGCTGCAACCCTGAACACATTTAGAGTATGCAGATAAGTTAGAACTCTGAGTAAATGCATATGGGACTTTACAATAACACCTCTTAAAATCTAAAACATCCTTCCTTAGTATGAATGCCCTCCAAACATGGACTTCAACTATTAGAATTCTCTGCAACAGCCATGTGCTGGCTGGGGCATTCTTTCAGTTGTAGTCCACGTATCTGGATTGGAAAAGCTGGGCTAAATGCAGTGGTGGGATCTTAGCGGCTTAACAACCAGTTTGGTCATTGCGCACGCGCTGCGCTTGCATGCACAGTTTTGTGAAATGTTACCTTCTGCATTACTGCTAAGGAGGAAAACAGCTGATGCGCATGGCAATCCGCTCTGCCAAGCTACTCAGCTGAAAGGATATAGGTCAGTAAAACTCAAGGGCAGGTGGGCAGACCCCACTGATCGTCGGACTGAACCGGTTCTCTCCCAGCTGATCGTCGGAGCTGCTACTGGTTTGCCCAAACTGGTCCGAACTGGTAGAATCTCACCTCTGGCTAAATGTGACCTCTACCATAGAGGTTAACTCAGCAGAAAAAATGGACAGCTGTTCCCTTGTGGAGAAATGCCATCAGTTAAATTAAGGGTGGGGAATTGAATCCAGAATGGAGTCGGAGGCAGTTCTCACTTGCCCTGTCATTCAGCAAACACACATGAGGAGTTTAATTGGAGAGCCCTCTTTTTCCTTATGCTAACTATTTCTTCCATGCGGGATTATATAGTTTGACAAGTGCATGCTTTCCATCATCAGGGGCAAGTTGCAGAAACTGGAGCGATCTTGGAGGCCTAGTGAACAACCATTTAAATATGAGCCAGCAGTGTGCAGCAGCTGCCAAAAGCCAACACAGTTCAAAGCTGCATAAACAGAGGGATAGAATCAATATCACGTGAAGTGTTAATACCACTTTATAAGGCTTTGATAAGACCACACTTGAATGCTGCATCCAATTTTGGTCGCCACAATCTAAAAGGACTGTTGAGACTCTAGAAAGAGTGCAGAGAAGAGTAACAAAGCTGATTAAGGGACTGGAGATTAAAACTAAAGAACAGTTGCTGGAATTGGGCACATCTAGTTTAATGAAAAGAAGGACTGGGGTTGACATGATACCAGTGTTTTGATATCTTAACGGGCTGCCACAAAGAAAAGGAAGTCAACCTATTCTCCAAAGGGCAGAACAAGAAGCAATGGGTGGGAACTAATCAAGGAGAGAAGCAACCTAGAACTAAGGAGAAAGGCATGAGCAAAGCAGAACTTTTGGCTCCTCTTAGAGTAGAAAATGGATCAGATGGATGCTGCTTCCATCAAAATAATCAATATTGGGCCACTTGGGCAAACAGACTGATCAGGTATAAAGTGCTTCTAAGTATACCTGGGATGGCAAATCTGGATCTGCCTCTGTGTAATAGCAGTAGCAATAGCACTTAGACTTATATACCACTTCACAATGCTTTACAGCCCTCTCTAAGCGGTTTACAGAGCCAGCCTATTGCCCCCAACAATCTGGGTCCTCATTTTATCCACCACGGAAGGAATGGAAGGCAGAGTCAACCTTGAGCCTGGTGAGATTCGAACTGCCAAATTGCAAGCAGCCAGCAGTCATCAGAAGTAGCCTGCAGCACTGCACTCTAACCACTGTGCCACTGTGGCTCACTTTGGTTTGTAATGTTTGATACCCTCTAGAGAAGGCGTTTCAAACTTGTTTTCATTGAGGGCCACATCAGGGTTGTGTTTGACCTTGGGGGCCCAGGAGGGGCGTGGCCAGGTTGTGCATGGCCAGCTCGACATCACTCGTGTCGTGGGCGTCTGTGGTGGCCGAGCACTCCGCCAGCAAAAGTGGGCTCTTGAGCTGCATTTTCAGCTGCAATGGCCTCTTGTGACCCTCTGCCAGCGAAAATGGAGCTTGTGAGGGCCACAAGCTGCCCTCCCGAGCTCTGTTTTCATTGGCAGAGGAACCACGGACTGGACCTTTGCTGTTTCCAGGGCAGATCTAAGCACCTTGCAGGCCGGATCTAGTCCCCGGCCCTTGAGTTTGACACCCCAGCTCTAGAGCTAGTGCCATAATTGCATTCAACCACATTGTGGCTCTGCCTTCAAAGCTCTTCCTATCTTTTTTTTTTGCAGACCAGTTTAACGGTGGTCTTCATCATGCCGCTGATAGTGAAGGAAACCAATATGCTCCTTTCTCAGAGGCGCTTGCGCAGGTTGGCCGGCTGACTCTCTTCTCTCTTCTGTCAGTGGAGGTCTTTTTTTCCCAAGGGGGAACTTGGCTCTTCAGGATTTTTGCCTTCATTTCTTGATTTACATCCACAAAGACCGGATTTGCTGAGAAATGGCCACCAACACATCCATCGCTGAAAGATTGTCATCTGAATCCCGTCTGAAGATAATGCTATGGAAACCCACCACTGGGAAAGAGCTGACTGTCTGCTTGGAAGGCTTAATTGAGTGTATCAGTGAGAGATGTTTTCTCTTTTGATTTTTACCTCTTGTTTCCAAGGCTTGTGTGTGCGATTATCAAGATCAAATGATAAAATGTTGGGCTTGTATGTGGGAGAAAAGTTTCTTGAAAGCAGAAAGTGATTGTGCCTAGAAAAAGCGTTTGTATAGTAAATCCTTGATTTAATGGATAGGGACCTGGGCAGGGGAAAGGGGTGTCTATTGAGCTGAATGAGATTGTTCAAGGCCAAAATGTACCTATACATGAAATTACTTTAATAATCATAAAGTCTTTGGTGTCGCCTTTACTTATGAAGCCATAGGTAAAAGCCATAGATGAAAGTACAAATATTTATACCTTCCCTTACAAAACATAGTCACCAACTCTTGTAAAAGAGTTTTGAGATAGCCACTAACTGGCTATGTAATTATTTATTAACTATTTTTAAAAAATAAATTATGCACGTGCAGCAGCAGGAAGCATCTCCTGACCTGACTTGATCCATTGTTTGGGATGAATTCTGATATGGCCTGAAATGCAGACAAAAATCCAAATCCAACCTCTGTTTGTCCACTGCATTCGAGATCCATTAAAACAGAGGATTTACTATACTTGCTTTCTTCCTATTGTGCTCGTTTATTGGTGGCAATCTGGAGGTCTTCCAGATGTTTTTAAACTTTAGGTTCCTTTGTGTCTCTCCCCGTTGGCTCTGCTGGCTAGGGCTATGGAATCGGAGTTAGGCAGCAAGAGGAGAGCCACTTTACCCGTCCTGATGCCAAAGGAAGATAATGTGATTTACAAAGGGAGAAATCCTTCAGATTTGCAAAGTGGAGTGGAATCATCAAGAAAAAAAAACTTTGCCAGCTGATGGCTGCTGCCTTTACACAAACCGGCCCTTGTATATTTCTTTGTACTGTAATAAGTTTGGATCTTTGTGTTGTAATCCAGGCGCCAAAAAAAGCTGCCAAACAGAGGAAATGGACAGCTCTCTTTGCATTTTCCTTTGGTGAAAAGGAAAGGCATTTCCAACTTTGTAGTAGTATGAAAAGAGCATTTCAGAGCAGCCTGGGCCAATCCACTGCTGGTTCTTGCAAGCTTTTTGGTAGCTCCCTAACTGCATTTTTTTTTAAATTAAAAAAGAAATATACAACAGGGTACTATAAAAGCAGCTGAAATCCTTGGTGTCCTTATGTAAAAAGAACATTTGTAGGGTGTTTGTTTGATCTCCAAATATTTGTCCTATCCAGATGTTCATGTTAATTTAACCTTCTCTCTCTCTCTAGCAGAGCAACTGCATTCCGTACTTGATTTTTTATCTGTCTAATATTAACTGTCTAATATGTGAAAACAAGCTGGGTCTTTGGAGATGTGCACAGCCAACTATTTTATACAGAGGGGTAGGAATCAGAGTTTTACTAAGATCCTTACATTTTTGTTATTATTATTATTTAAATAGGTTTGAGAAAATGGGAAGAAAAGGGAATAATTATCAAAATTTGAGATTGTTTACTATGTCTCCTTTACTGGAGATCACTGTCGCCTACAGTATAGGCAGAGACCTCTTGATTTCTTTTTAAGGACTCTGCCAAGTCTGATCCTTCCTTCCTTAAGACCCTATAACTGTAGTCTATGATCCTCACCAAAGGCATTCTGTGGGCAGAGCTGGCCATTACATAATGTGCATAGTATGCTCTCCGCCCCAAAATCAAAGCTGCATTGGTTACTTTTCCTTCTTATCTTTAGCCTCTAGATCAGGGGTGTCAAACTTGATTTCATTGAGATCCTTGAGTTTCATTGAGGGCTGTGTTTAACCTTGGGGTCCAGGGTGAGCATGGCCAGCATAACAACATTCATGTTGGGGGGTGCCTGTGGTGGCCTGAGCACTATGCCAGCGAAAAGAGGCTCCTGAGCTCCGTTTTCGGCTCTGACGGCCTCTTGCAACCCTCTGCCAGCGAAAAAGGAGCTCGGGGAGCCGCACACAGCCCTCGCAAGCTCCATTTTCACTGGCAGAGGCACCACGAGTTGGTCTTTTGCTGTCCCCAGGGTGACCCCATGGGCCAGATCTAAGCACCCCGTGGGCCAAATCTGCCCCCCGGGACTTGAGTTTGACACCCCTGCTCTAGATCAGCTTAATCCAAATTGAGGAATCATGCCATTAATAAATGCTTAGAAATATTTGGCATAATGAGGCAATTTGAACTAGACATTCAAATTGATTTATATTTAGGGCTGCTGTTTCGAGCACTTGTCTTACATATTAGTGCATAGGTCTACCTTACAAGTTCAGTGATGTTGAGTTGGATCAGATCGTATCTGTGTTGTCCTCATCTTCCTTTTTTACAAGACGCCATTTTCACATATTTTCAGAAGTTTCCAGACAGGAATGTATTAACAAGTGCTGTGCTCAGTTGGCATCTATGGTTACCCCAAAATTAAATGCAAAACATTTGCTTTTAAATAGCCCAAATCATCAAATCGTATAAGATCTTGGTCTTTTTTGCTCAAATTATGAAAGATTCTGGGCGTTTTAAAAACATTATTTTTAGCGCCTCTGACACAACACTTGTTCTTGGGATAATATCTCCTGCCTAAAAAAAGCTTGCTAACTCTGTTGTAGAGTGTACGCTCCTGCAAACTGATGTGGATCAAGCAGTCAAACCCCAGGTTTTTTTTTTTTTAATGTGGAATAACTATGGCGTTATAACAGGGCATTGGTGAAATTCAGCAGATTCTGACAGAGAACTGGTAATGGTTATTTGGAGTAGTTCGGAGAACTGGTAAATACCACCTCTGGCTGGCCCCAGAGTGGGGAGGGAATGAAGATTTTGCAGTATCCTTCCCCTGCCACGCCCACCAAGCCACACCCACAGAACCGGTAGTAAAAAAAAAATGAATTTCACCTCTGCCAATTTTACCCCTGCTTATTCCTTATGCCCCCATTTGCCTGTTTAATAAACAAGGCATTCTCTGGATTCCCACTGTACAGAAGGGAGTGGATTTTTGCAGCATTATTGTCTGAGCTAGCCGGTGACTCTGTAGTTCAAAACAGTGGAAAAATTAGACATGTAATCTTCAGCACAGGCTCAGAAACCATGGGTTCAAACAGTATCAAGCATCCCACTTTTCCTGAAAGTGCACTTTGCCATTGCATGCATGCAACTGAAACTTCATTTTTTTTTGAGTTAATGTGTTGTGCAAATGTAGCCCTTTTAGTTAGTTCGCAGTTTGGTATATTGTGGGAACTCAAAAAAACCTATTAATTTAAAAACAAACCAACATTTTTTTTAATGCAAATCTCGCCTTCAAAAACTGAAAACTAGATGAACACTACAAAATGAGTTTCTTTAGGGTGCTGGGATCCTCAACTCAATTTTCAAGACTGCTTTTTACCTGCTGATGTAAATGTCACCTTGACCCTAAATTTCTAATGTTTTGTTATTGAGATTGAGATAAAAAGAACACTAAGCAAATTGTGAATTTGAGGGAAAGAAATTCTTCTTGTTGTTTTTTTAAAAAAATATTTTATATGTGCTTAATGGTTAGTTTCTTTTTTTAAAAAAAATGTATATGTTCATGTAGATTTTTTAAATCATGTTATGGCTGCTGTAAAGTTTTTGATAATTTAAGAGCCTCTTAGTTGTGTCGGTTTACTGTTTTGTGTGTTCTTTTCCTGTCATGCTGCTCTATTCCACTGTTCACAATACACAATAGCCTAATTTATGAACATTAAAAAAACATTTCTCAACTTCTTTACTTGTAAATTAGAAATCTACTCCAAGAGGAGGAAAAAAAAATACAGTAAAACCAAATTTCCTTAATTATTTTCTCCTTTCTTGCTTCTTTCCACTTGTGATATGTGGTGGCATCAACTCTTTCGTGGGATACCATGAAAAGTGATGCCCTCAACCATTGACTTTTGTTTTTAATCATTAAAGTACTTTCTTAAGAATTATGCTTAAGCGATTTGAATGAAGCACGAAAGCATGGTGTTGAATTCTAGCCCTGCCCTAGTAAAAAGAAGCTTTTCCAGATTTGGGGACATAATCACTTTTCTCACTTCTGGTGAGCTTGATGGGAGGCAGCCAGAAAGACCACCCTTCCTGCATATTTTCACCATGAGAGAAGAACAGGAAACTTTATAATCACATCCTTGAATCGAAATGTGAGAGCTCAGTCTATGGATTTCTTGGCTGACTGAAGGTGAAGACGGGCCAACACTCTGAAGCAGCAATCACCCGAGCTGGCACCTTTGAACTGTTAGACTATGTCTCCCATTGTCTCCAGCCAGCATAGCTGAAAGTTATGTGAGCTGCAGTTCAATGCATACAGTATGGAAGGTTCCAGATTTGCCAAAGTCTGTTCCAGGGTACGGTAGAATTGGTTTTAATGCAGATTGCCTTCGTTTGAAATACTGTTATGTGTGTGGAATGCAACACATGTATGTTCAAACCATTTCTACCACATTGGGAATGTTTATTTGTTTTTTGCCTGGGTAGCTGTTAACTTTGATAGAAATTGTTCATCTTAGCAAACACAATGAAAACATATACAGAATTTTCCTCGCAAAGAGCTAATTTTGCTGCCCGGAGTCATGTATTTGTGATGGGCAGCCATAATGAATGAATGAATGAAATGAAATGAAATGAAATGAAATGGAATGAATGAAATGAATGAATGAATATGAAAATTAAAGGCTGTCAGCAACAAATTCTTCATAGGGTGCTATGAAATGTTCTGTTGGTAATACTTTCTCTTTCTATCGTATATATTTCCACTTAAAATTCTCTGTGAAAGTAAGTAGGGGGAAAAGACATGCTGTCAACTGTCCAATTGAGTTTGATTTTATTAAATTATTTTTGGCAACAGAAAGATTCTGTGCATGATTTTTATTTTTGACTTATAATGAATGTTGCTTTTCCTCGTCTCGGAAGTTGTATTAAGTTGACCACAAAGCAAATCATATTTTAAAAGTTGTAAAAGGATCACTTTCCATAAATAGATATTTTTCTACAGAGATTGGGATCATTCTATGTAATAGTTTATGCTCAGTGCTCCTAAATATCGAAGGAGCAATATACACAGTAGAATGTATTAAAAAGGGGGTATCTGAGGAGATGATCAGGAACTACAAATTAAGTCCTGTGCAGCGGTGGGTTTCACATTTTATTACCACCGGTTCGCCCCGCGCGCCCGCTCACTTCGCACATTCATGCACCCCTTCTGTGCATCCACCCGGCCTTCCATGCATGCACTTTGCTCATGTGCGCGCCTTCTGTGCATGCACTTTGCTCATGTGTGAGCCTTCCACGCATGTGGCCAGCCTCAAAAACGTGCCTAAATAGAACGGCATCGAGCCAGGGCGATTTCCACTACCAAACCGTCTGAATACCTCTGTGAAGAGACATGGAAGGAACTGGATATATATAATCTTGGGAAAAGATGACCAACAGGGACATGATCCTCAGATATCAGAGACTCAAAAAGAAGGAGTTCAAAACCATTCTTTTCCTCCCTGTAGAATGCAGGATATAGAATAATGGATTTAAGGAAGCTAAACTTCAACAGAAAGCCAGTATCTATCTGTGGGGTCTTTTTATTTAGACTTTTTTTTAAACTGAGCAAATATTTGGATTCAACGGTTCCCTTTTAGCTTTACAATTATAAGATGGTAATGTCCAGGACCACATAGAATAATCAGTTTTTCAACATATCTACTTTTTTTAAAATTAGCAATGAAAGAGGAGGAGACAGGAACAGAATGATGATTTCTATTTACAGTCTAGCTTATCTAATCTTGCATTTAAGTAACCTTTCATCTCCAGAACTGCCAAATGTAATTCCCCATCTGTTCTCCTGACAATATACTGGCAGCCCATGGAATATAGTGTCAAGAGGCTGACTCTTCTCACCTTCCTCCCCCCCCCCCACCAGCTTTGGTGGAACCCGCTTTCCCTTTCACCTGTTAATGGGAGAGGTTGATCTAATTGGTGGGCCTTTAAGAACATCAGACGTTCTTTTTCACTGCACCTATATTTTACATCTGACAATACACATCTTTGTAGAGCTTAATCCAGATGAGTTCAGAACACTGGAACAAAGACTACAAGGCTCTTATTAAATAATACGCATAATTCTCACCAATTTTCAGTCATCTACAAAGGGCGATCTTGGCCAGTCATTACCCTTCATACGACCTTACTTCACAGAATTATTACAAAGGATGAAAAATGAACAGCAATGTGGGGCTGTTAGAGTAAGGATGGGGAAGCCTTTTCATTCCAAGCACTGAAAAAGGCGCCAGGATTAAAGAAAGACGCACCACACTCTTTCCCTCCTGAATATTACTTGTTCTCATGCGCATCACACTTGGTCCCTTTCTCACAACCGATCATTGAAAGGGAGCAATGCAATTGGCTTATTAAAAAAAAAAGGCACTGGAACACCTGAGATCAGTTTCAGCTCTTCCTAGTAGTTCTCAGCAAGGTTAGAAAACAGGAAGGCTGGAGAAAAAGAGACAACCCCTGTCTTTCATCCTTTTGCTAGCAAGACCCTTGTGGCTTATTCATTTTAATCCAGTGATTTAAAGCAACGTCACTAGAACAGGAATGGGAAGCCTTTTTGGTTCGTCTCTCTATCCCCAAAATCACCAGAAGTTTCTTGATGCTACTGCTTTGGCAATAGGAAGGCAGGCTCTGAGCAATTGCCAATAGGAAAAGAAAGCAGAGATCTACCGTTCAGTGCTCTTGAGACATGTGGACCACTGGTCTTAGAACAGGGGCGTCAAACTCGTGCCATCCTGGCAGTGTCACGTGATGTATTAGTCTCCTCTTTGCTAAACCGGGCATGGATGTGGTCAGTGCATGATGCATGTGGCCAGTGGTGGGATCCTGTCGGTTTAAGAACCGGTTGAGTGATTGCGTGCTTTGCATGCTTCACATGCTTTGCGTGCTTTACTCCATACGCGGTTTTAACAAAACTTACCTTCCAGGTTTCTTCTGGGGAGTAACACAGCTGAGGTGCAGCAATCCGCTCTGCCGTGTGAATCAGCTGAGAGGATATAGGTCTGTACAGCGCAGGGATGGACGGATGGGTCCACCTGATCATTGGAGAGAACCGGTTCGCTCCCCCAGCTGATCATCGGAGCTACCGGTTTGCCCCAACTGGTCTGAACCGGTTGAATCCCACCCCTGCATCTGGCCCACAGGCCGTGAGTTTGATAGCCCTACCTTAGAAGAAACAAGGCAGACTAAGGGATAAAATTAAATAATCTGGTGGAGTGGAGTAACAGCCTGTTATGTTTCTTCTCTAAACTCTTCCTCAACATACTTTATTTAACCTGGATCCTTCGGGGGGGCCAACAAGAAATTACATTGATTCCAATCGTAGATAAAATACCTTCCTATTGTAAATCCATCAACGTTTATTAGAAAATACTTGATTGTTAGGAAAACCTGGGATAGAATTGGACCAGGGAATACTGTAACTAGGAGTATTATCACAAGAGCAAATTCTTAGCCAGAGTTTACTTTCGTCCATCTCCTAGATATTTTTGAATGACAAGACATACTACACTACAAATTGAAGAAACGCTAATTTGACCTTGGCATCAATGAAAATATTTATTTCAAACTGTTTCAGGTAATAAAAAACAACCTTTATCTTTCCATTACCAATTTAGGCCATCTGTGTTAGTGGGGTGGGGGGTGGGGAGTGGAGAAATAAATGCCCGTCTGGTGAAATGATTGAATTTGCACATTATTCTAAGCCATGCTTTGCTTGCTCATTTTTTTTCTTTTTTTGTGTGATAAATTTTTATTTTATTTTAAACACATAAGCACATCAACAAAAACAAACACATAACTTAAAAACAACATAGG